CGTCCAGGTCGAGTTCTTCCGGAGATGGAAAACGGCGCCGCAAGCAGCGCGCAAAGAAGTCCCGTCGCAAGCGCGATCGGGAGCGCAAGCTGGAATATATGCTGTCAAAGCCTGACCCCCCGTTCGAGTACGAGGGCCAAGCGGACTTCCGGATTTTTGATAAATGGGCTCTTGAAGTCAAGGACTGCGCTCGCCACGGACATATCAGTCGTAAACGCGTTGTACCATGGGTTAAAAAATATGTTAAAGGCCGTGCTTCTGCCTGGTACATGCGAGAAGTTGCCAAAAATCCGCGCAAATGGACGTTGAACAAGCTGCTTAAAGCTTTGTTTAACCACTGTTTTCCCGCCAACTTCCGCTCTATCCAGCGTGAGAGATACGAACGATTTCAGCAACGCGGACACGCCATTCGTGAATACCGCACGGACCTGACTGATTTACGAGACAGCATCGGCGACGACATCAGCGAGCGCCAATTCATCATTCGATTCTGGCAAGGCGCCGATGCTCGTGTTCGAGTTCATTGGGCAAAAACTGGGTATGACCGCGAGACGTCAACCTTGAATGATTTGGAAGCTTCCGCGGCAAATTATGAGACGGCTTTACTCATTGAGGAAGCCGAAAAACAACGCACCGTCCATGCCAATGACAACGCTGCCAATACGGCAAAAGTCGGTTCAGAAAAAACGGACCAACGGCCGGAGGGCGACGGCTCGACCTCGAAACCACCTGTACAATCGAAACAGTCAGCTCAAATTCGCGAACGGAAACTCACCAAAGCTGAAATGAACGAATACCGCACACAGGGCAAATGTTTTGATTGTGGCAGTACTGAGCACATCCGGAAGGACTGCCCCAAATTCAACCGCTTGAAACCTCCGAAAGGAATACTCCAGTCGGCAGCCGTCTCATTCGCCGAGATTGAGCGTTTGCGAATGTTGAAAGATGCTCATGAATTCGGAGTATTTTCGGTCTCGCTTGACTTTGAGCCTGTAGAGAGCTCTGTCGAATACGCGAAGGCGTTATTAATGAGGCGACTGCGCCAGGATCTTCTTACGATCGTGCCACTCATTTTCGACAACTTTTTCTTGCCTGGGAACGATCCCATGGCCGTCACGAGGTTCCTGGTTGAAGAAATGGAGTACGAATTCGCAATCTACGATAGACACAGGTCCAATCGTGCTGCAATATCCATGATCCAGCTTCTCGACCCGGATTTCGACTTCCTAAGGTGGTATCGCACTTACGACTTTGTGCCGTGGAATCCCGACGAAGATCAACTCGGAGAAGAAAGCCTCCAAAAGCAACAGAGCGAGGAATGTATTCAAGGAACACGAGATACTGAGACGAGTACGACATCTGAGGACCCGGAAGGCCAGCTGGAGGGCGAGAGCAAAGAGCTAGTGTTATATTCGGGAGGTGTACCGGACACAAACATGCACAGCCAAACAGACGCGTCTCTTTCTCTTCCACCTCCTCCAGATTTGCTGCAGATCTATCTCGGACGGTTCACTCGCAATAGAAGCTATACTTTGACTGGAACTCCTGTGCACAGACCTCTGCATTATCTCCGACGTCAACTACTACCAACTCGTTCTCTCCTCTTGCATCACTCCGCTCTTCAAGTTCCAAACAGAACTTTTGAGCGCGTCAATGCTCATCGTCAGCTGTTGCTTTTCTATTTGCGCCACCGCGCATACTCGCGTTTCAATTCCGTGTTTTCCTTTCCTCTGTCCGACTTCGAGGAAGCTCGGGACATGATCTTTGCACAAATCCCCCGCGAAACCTGCCTTTCCAATCTCCTCTTTCTTGCGGCGTCGAATTCTGCTCAATATGACCGTCTTTTGCGCATGGGAATCCATCTTGGGATGGTGAGCTTCCCCGCGAAGGTCATACCAGATTCGGGCCGGCTCTGAACGATGGAGAATGTTACGGGTAGGAAGGGCGGGTGCTGGTATGTTTTATTTTCTATCTACTGCTACTTATTTGCTACAATATTTGTTTTGTTCATGGTCTCTTCGATACCATGGGAGGGCGTATGTAGGGATTTAGGCTCTCGTCATTACGCTTATGTCACGGACGGTCTCGCTACATATATAAGGCCGCCTTATCTACGTAGCTAGCCAGGATTCCCCCCTTTCCCAAACAGAGCTTGTTCTAGTTCTGTCGGGTGTCTTCTCGTGAGCGTAGACTAGTCTGCATAGCGGACCCTCTACCCTACAGAGTACCTCCAGGACTTGGTCAACCGCACGCTGAATTACGATGAGTTCAAAGGGTTCCAGTGGCGGGATTTTGGCGGGATCCAGCAGGAAATGGAAAGCAGCAAGGCATGCACGTCCGTCTGTATCCGAGGCATCAGCTGCAACGACTAGAAACCGCCTTACCGCCAATCGTGAAGCATTTGTGGCGCAAGCCGCCAGCGCCAAATTCTGTGGTAGGATAAAAGGTCACAAAAGCAGCAAAGTAAATATAAAAGGTACCCGGAAGTTCCGCGGCAGTTGCGATAAGGTTTTGAGTCGTAGGCCTTCATGCATGATGGCGAGAGGATGAAAATTTTGCTTGCATAATGATGCTGCACTGCCGCTGATGTTCGGCAGGAGTTGGGGCATGTCAGCCCGGTTTCTTCCGGACTTTGGTTCGATTCTTGACCCAGGTGCCAATGCTACGTGTAAATTGCTCTCTTTGCTCACCACTTTCAACACATTGTCCTTTTAATTGTTTCCGATTGAAACAAACTAGGTCTTTCAGTCGGTGCCGCCAGAAATTCAGTCAATCTCTGATTCTTTCCACAAGCGAAGTCGTCAAGTTTTGGAAGAAGTTTTGAAAGAGGAAAGAGATGAGACAAAGAGCTCAGTAAGGCTATTCGGACGCTGGGAGTTGAGTCCAATTCCTCTTTAATCCTTTTTTCGCCTAGAGCGGGTGTACGCTGCGCACGAGGTCCGATTTAACATGTAGGATCAGGCCCGAGACAGGTTAGGTCAAATCGAAGGAGGGTAAGACAACTAGAGACTTCATAGCGCATAGACGGTCGCATCTGTTGAATCCCAAGTTGAATCCAAATCATAACGACGTCGAGACGCACATTCAAGGGATTGCAGGCTTAGTACCTCCGTACGTGTTTGTTGAGCTGGGAGAAACATGCTGATATACTGAGGTCGGAGGAAACAAAATCGAAACGAAACGCAATGGGCACACGGAGCCAAAAAGAATTCCCCACTGACAATCTATTCGGACGCTGAGTATCGAACCCGATTCCTCCCGCTTCCATTTCGAATTCCGAACAAATGGCAACCTGAACCTATTGGTTTGAGCTACTGGGTTCACAAGCACCGTCGTACCATATTAACCGAGGTGAATCCCTGCTGCTGCACAACCCCCACCAGAAACAGAGAGAAAAAACAAGTTCCTTTACAAGCTATTCGGACGCTGAGAGTCGAACCCAGTTCCTTCCGCTGCAATAAATTTCCCGTGATGCGGACTCATGAAGAGCGGGCGTGGACCGTGCACCACATCCGAGGTCTCAGTACATTTTTTCACCTGAACATGACAGAGAAATAAATGGACAGAATGAATATCGATGGGTCCGTGAATCATAACTGCGCCAGTTACTATCTATGTTCTCTTTGCCTGGAATGACAAAGATTTCCAAGGCGAGATAATCAGCATACTGAAAGACTCGAATGGCACTGGAAAATTGGCTGCCAAAAAAACTGGGATTCTCACACTCTATTCAGATGCTGTCAGTGGCAGCTGGTCAAGTTTTCTTCGGCTGAAATAGGGCTTAAGACGAGTGTTTAAACTGAACGAAATACAAGAGAAGAACACAGGTGAAAAAGGCCCTCACCTGCAAGGGGGTTTAAGTTGCAAAAAGAATAGCAAGCAGCAACCCACCCATTCGGACGCTGGGAGTCGAACCCAGTACTCCCGCTTCAGGTTCTCATTGGGTAGGTAGGTAGGTAGGTAGCATTACACGGCACGGTCCCACTCAGGAACGCCGGTGTCTGAGGGTTATCTAGATGTACAAGCACGTAATATACACCATTGCCCTCGGGCCTCTCCGCACCCCCGTAGCCGAGCTCACGGTCGCAGCAATCAGTCGAGACTTCAAAACTCGCCGCGGTAGAACTACCGGAACACTGAAAAGCAAAAAGAATTAGCACGTTAACTCGGATCCGCTCCCAAACGATTAAGCTCCAATACGATACACAGGAATCACATAAAACACTTCAAGGACTTCGTACGCATACTTAGCAACTTAGCAACCAGCGCGATTGTTGATCTCGGATAGATGATGGCTTTCAAGAACTCCGTGTTGGATAGTTCTGCCATCTTGGTTTGTAGGTCTGGGAGATCAGTGAAGAGTTTGCCGAGAAAAATCCGCCGTAACTCAACCAGTGCGTCCGAAGACTCACAGGTGATAAGGGCATGTTCTGGCGTCTCTACGTCACGTTTGCAGAACCTGCACAACCGATCCGAGCGGGGCACTGGGGGGTACGCGTGGTCAACCCAACGCAGAACTTCAACGGCTAGAAGGTGAGTCGACAGCAATGGGAAAATAAAGAGCGGGTGTGCGCCGTGCACGACGTCCGTGCTCTCAATACATATTTGAACCTCGACAGGACGGAGAAATAGATACCTAGGGGGAATGCCGACAAGATTATGCATCGATGTCTACGAGATGGTATGCAATGAGTATCCTTGCAGTTACACAGGCAAGGTAATCAGCATGAAGTCTAGAAGTATCCGGCACTGGAAATGCGCCGTGGACCAGATCCGTGCTCTCGCTGCATGTTTGAACTGGGATAAGACTGAGAAATAACTCCCAGCAGGAATACCAAGGGAATGTGAACCGTACTTGCTAGTGTTATCAATATTCAATCTGCCTGAAGTCAATGAGATGAGCTTCAGAGGCAAGACAAGTCAGAGGGATACAGGACTGAAGAGTAATCGGAAATTCCCCAGCAGAACACAAAAAAAAGTCATATGAAGCCACCGACTAATTCGGACGCTGGGAGTCGAACCCATGGCCACTTCCTCCCGCTTCAGTCCTCCTTCGATTTCTACGAAGAGCGGGCGTGCGCCGTGCACCACATCCGAGCTCTCCGTATGTACTTGAACCTTGATAGGACTGAAAAATAAATACACAGTGGGAATGCCGATGATTGCAGGCCGTCCAGCGCTGTGGACCTGCAGAAAGAACAGACGTTCAAGGGGATGCATCGTGGAGATGAGAACACCTTGAGATATTGGGGTTGGAAGTATGGAGGAGTCTGAGGGGAAACGAGACGAAACTAAATGCACGCGTCGAAGAAGAAAAAACTTCGCCTCCTGACAAACTATTCGGACGCTGGGAGTCGAACCCAGTGCTCCCGCGTCCAATGGTTGGCCTTTTCTTGACACGGGGCGGGCATGCGCCGTGCACGACATCCGAGTCGAACTTTACTATCAGTATCTGACTATCCTATCCCAATCCTATCCGATCCCAACTCGTCACCTCGATCGAAGAATAAAACAAGGTCGAGGAGAGAGAGAGATACATCCTCGAGACATCGATGCACAAATAACAACGAAATGCACAAATGACCACAAAATGACAAGAACATCTGGATATAGACAGGCAGATATGCATTGCATTATACGGCTATGTACACGTACGGTGGTGTAGGATGTTGGTTGTATGTGTACGAGGAGGTAAAGGTATGTACGCGGAGATGTAGTTTGCTGAGGTGCAGAAGAAAGGAATATGTACGGTGTATGGGATATGTACAGTGCGTGTTATTCGTGGATACAGAGGATAGATGGGTGGGTGGATGGAAGCGGATAGGATGGCGATGGAGGGTAATGCGCAAGATGATTGACTTGGTGCGGTGTTGGTCTGGTGTAATACAAGAAGTCGGAGTCGCACCAATTCACGGTGCAGAGAGAAGCAAATCGAAGGTCGACGGATATAGTGCGCGCACCGTCGAGAATCGTGTCAAACGATCGGCAGCCTGCAGAGTCAAACAATCGGTAACCCGAACTCTCCCTTTCTGAACATAACCATAACCGTACTCACCTCAGTACGAATCCCCCCTCCTCGGCCTCCTCCCTTCTCTGCTACTCTCTCGACTCCGACTCCCCTCCCTACTAACCCCAGCGCTACTCTTCCCCCCTCCGCCAAACCCAAACACCCGCTTCAACAGCGGAACCTCGCGCGTGGGACTCCTCACTGCCTGTGGCGGTTGTGCGTACGCGTATTGTGGTGGTGGCGGAGGTTGGGAAGCATTCTGCGCGTACGCGTTCTGCGCATAGGCATATTGCGGCTGCGTCGCGAAGACATACCCCTTCGGCTGCTGTCCCTGCCCCGGCGGAGGCGGAGGCGCTACAGAATATGAGCGAGACCTTGCCGGCTCTGCTGGCCGAGGGGGGTGCGAGGTCGAACGCGAACGACGGTGTTGGGGTGGTTGTGGTGGTTGTGGCGGAGGTGGTGGGAGGGTGAAGTACCCGCCGCCGGCGGCGGGGGCGGATACATACGCGGTAGGGTAGTATGGTTGGGGTTGCGATTGCGGTGGTTGTGGAGCGCCATAGACGCCGTAGATGTCGCCTTTGGGCGGGGCGGTTTGCGACCGCACTGGTGTGGCTCGTTTTGGAGGTTGGTGTAAGGGAAGTGGAGGTGGCGGGGATGTTTTCCGAGAGTGGGAACGGTCGGAGGAGCGGGTGCGGCGGCGGTGAGGCGTGGAATGTGGAGGAAGTGAGGAATTATGAGGAAGGGAAGCAGCGGGGTTGGCGGATGTGGGAGGTGCAAAGGGGTCCGCCTGCGGGACGCGGTGGGTGCTGTGTGTCCAGCGCGCGATGCGCGCTTGGGTTTCGAGGTGGCGGTTGTAGGCTTCGGGGGAGAAGTCGTATTCAGTCATGGTAGTCGTGCGCTTTAAGTGTTCTTTTGAATCCGAGTCCGAGTTCTAAGCAGCTCTGGATGAAATCGAGGTAAGATTCTTTGTGGGGTGCGCGAAGTGAATGCGGGGAAGGGAAACGAAAGGATAGAAAGATGGGATGAAGAAGGATGGAAAGAAGGATAGAAGATGAATGCTCACGACGTTTGTGGGCGTGGCGTCGCTCGCTTATTTTCGGTGCAATAATCTGTACCCGTTTCCGGTGCGTTCGCGTTCGGTGCTTCGTGGCTTCGTGATTCTACAGTAGTCGACCGAGGTTGCTTCTCAGTCGGATTATGATATTTGGGGTTTGAATGCTACAAGTGCAAAGAGTTATGAATGAGCACACGATTCTTTGTGGGGTACGCGATATGAATGCGGGGAAGGAGGGATGGGGATGAAGAAGGCTGGAACGAAGGAAGGAAGAATGCGTACGGTTGTGGGCTGTTGTGGGCGTCGCTCGCCTGTATCGCCTGCTTTCCTTCCGGTGAGTCCGGTGCTTCTTCAGTGCCTCTCCGACAGCCGAGCCCTTCAGGCTTCTTCAGATCCGTTCTTGTTGGATATGATTATAGCAACTGTTGAGATATTGGAGCGTAGACAGGTGCGATAGGGCAGGAGGAAACAGGAAGCTGTGGATGGTGGGAGGAGGAGACATGCATGACCGTGGCGGGCGAGAATTTATGTGGCGCCACACAAGCGCCGCACGTGCTCCACACGCGATCGCCGGTCCGCGGATGCAGTTCCTGCGAGCTCGTCCTAATTGATGCATGGAGGTCCAGGGGCGAAGATGTAATTTAGCTTGCTTGTACATCGGGATAATTCCTGGAACCGGCGTTCGTTATTCGGACCGTGCCGTGTAATATTACCTACCTACCTACCTACCTGAAACTTGAAAGCCGTGGGAGGTAGATCTATGCGGTGCCGCTTAGAGTCTTAGACGCCGGCCGGACTTCACTTGGAACTTCACAACAGATCAAGGGGTATTCGCCGGAAGAAGCCGAGACACTGGGTCGATAGGTAGGTAGGTCCGAGGCAGTCTTATTTCAGTTTTTGGAATCTGCTTGGATCACTCTGAAAATGCATTTAGAAGGGTTGGGAAAAAACGGGTTTTTTGGAGGGGCTTGAGGGTTAAAAAATCCTTGAACATCCTCGAAATCCATTTCGGAGGGAAGTAATTTGTGTCAATGCGCCCAGATAGGCCTCGGATTGAGGCAGAAAATCCTGATTCCGCCCTCATTTGCGTGGGAAAATCACTCGGCTAAGCTCGCTTAGCCTCGGTTAATAGGTAGGTAGGGCCTGGATAGCCTTATTGCACTTTTCCGACCCTGTGTGGAAAATTTTAAGGGTGAATACCCCTTGCAACAGATTAAGATAGGTCGACGGTGTTGAAGAGCAACCGGTACCATGTAATTATAAGGCGGCACTGCGACAGAGCAATTCTGGCTCGAGACACACACTTGACACTCGATTATTTCTACGGAGTTGCAAGCTGCCAGCGTCTCTGTGCATGTAGTCTGCATATCCTCTACATGAAGTTTGAACCGCCCGACCATCCACCCATTTTAATCAACCACACTGCTGGACTCGGGTATCTCGGTGATGTTCAAGTTTGATGTTGAACTCCTTGCAATCTGATGGCTCGTCTTTGCTACACGCGTACTTCACTGCCGGATGAAAATCCGAGTAAAAAAAGCTGTTCGCACTGCGCCATTCGGACGCTGGGAGTTGAACCCAGGGCTCCCGCGTCAAATTATGCAATAACAGAACACGATCAAGGACAGCGGGCGTGCACCATGCACCACATCCGATACGATATCTCTGTTTGGAACAGTACAGGTTCACAGCTGTTGAGTCCTTATACACTTTTCTGATGTGATCGGAAAAGTCGGTCTTACTCAATTAGACAAGAGACGAGAGGCCCGGTGGTAGGACTTTTTTGTGAAAAAAAACGCACCCCCAAACCAAAAGATCGGCGAATACTGGGCATTTGGACGCTGGGAGTCGAACCCAGTTCCTCCCGCTTAAACCTTCGACTGGTTCCACCAGAAGCAGCGGGCATACACCGTGCACCAGATCCGACATAATATGCTCAGGACGTCAGGCAGGTGTGGAACATTGAACAGATCTTTCGACACTGTAGCTGAATGTCTATGGCGTGAACTGGTTCACATCTGCATGGTCCAAAAGGCGGCTCCAAGAACTTAAGCACGTTTGAAGAGAGACTGTGGTAGCGGCTAAGCACAGAGGGAAGTGAGGATAGAAAAAATGTGAAAAAAACTTTTTCTAGGGTTGCAGGCTCGGTGTTTATTCGCCTCGAGTCGCGGGAGCGAGTGGACGTTGCTGTAGCGGGTCGACGCGTTATCCTAGCTGGGTTCTCCCCAACTGTCGTGCGGGGCTTCCCGCATCTGCGAGTTACTCAGTGCTGGGGCTGTCTCAAGTATGGTCACGTCAAGGCGCGATGCTCTGTCAAACAGACCAAGTGTGCAGGATGTGGCAACGATTCGCATGGCGCGGTTTGCTCCTCGAAGCCGAAATGCCTGAACTGCGGCGGTGACCATCGCGCGGACAGCTTTTCTTGCCCTACCAGAAAGCGGATCGCCGAGTCCCTCCGCCTTCGCGCTGTTGAACTCACTCGTTCCTTGAATGACTCATCCTCGGTCCCCATATCTACCTTCCCGGCGCCTCGGCTGCCCGAATCTGTTTAGATGCTGAATCTCGTCCAGATAAACTCGTGGAAGTCCCGGAACCCATTGGAAATTCTGACGGAGTCCGACGACTTTGACATCATATGTGTACAGGAACCGCACGCCCAAGAAGTACTGAACGCTCGAGACCACCCCGAATACGCTCTCATCTACCCAGAAGCCGCCGATCAGCACCGTGTTTCCATCTACGTCAAACTGTCTTCAATCGCACCAGCTAATATATGCCCGCGACCCGATTTATCGATGGCCGGTGATGTCCTTGTGGTTGATCTCACTCTCGAAACTACAAAATTGACCTTGATAAACCTTTATAATGATTGCAAAACCCGTGCTGGCGTCAAGATTCTCCGCAACATCCTGCGGAAGTTGGATCACTTCAGCAAAGTACTCCTGGTCGTTGACTCGAACTCACATCATCCGCTCTGGGACTTAATGACAAAAACTCCAATGTGCGAAGAAGACTTCGAGCTTCATGATCTCCTCGTCGCTCATGGTCTGCTTCTGCTTACGCCACCTGACGTTGCAACACACACCTCGGGAAACGTTATTGATCTCGGGTTCTGCTCGCCGTCCCTGTTCATGTCCATTGACGCCACGGTGGACCCATCTCTCTGTGTTGGTAGCGACCACCTCCCCATACACTACAAGCTCAGCTTCGATGTTACTCGCTCTCGTTCCTTGAAATTCAACACTGCCAAAATGGACATTGATATTTTCCTTGGGATCTTACGCGAACAACTTGGTATACAGCCTGTCCCGATTATCACAACGCAAGAAGAACTGGACAATGCTGCTCAACTGCTGTGTGATGTTCTTGCGGCAGCTCTGGAAAAGTCGACGCCTAGGCACCGCCCATCCTCGATGGCCAAACGATGGTGGACCCCGCCTCTGACAAAACTGCGCTCGCTCATGCGTCGGAAACGGAGGGATTACCAAAAATACCACACGCCCTTCTCTCGCAAAGCCTGGCTCGATGCGCGGCGTGACTTTTATCGGGCTATCTCCAGCGCAAAGCAGGCAGCATGGGCGATGTTCTTGAAGGAGCTCGAGCGCATCGACATCTACAAGGCACTCAGCCGCTTGAAGGAAAGGCGATCCGCTGTCTTCCCCTCCATCTGTGATCCCGAAACCGGCGAAATTCAGCTCACTCACCTGGATCGCGGACGAACTCTTGGACGAGCCTGGTTCGGAGCTGAAGCTGTAGAAGTCTCTGCATCGTTGATTGATTTCCCACTGGCCCCAGATGTGAACCCGGTACCGTGCGTAGACCAAACTGGTAACCCCGGAGAATGCGAGGGGGGGTCCACACGGAGGCTAGCCCTCTTGGTGGACTTCCGCCCTCGGCGGACAGGCAAGATCCATTGCCTGCCCTCGCTTTCACATCTGATGCACCCTTGAGAATCTCTGCAGATCCCATATCCCTCACTAAATCGGCCGCGGCAGTTCCTGACAACAACTTCTCTCTGTCCCCGGATGTGACCCCGGCACCGCGCGTAGACCAAGCTGGCAACGGCGCCCGGAGAATGCGAGGGGGGGTCCACACGGAGGCTAGGCCTCTTGGTGGACTTCCGCCCTCGGCGGACAGGCAAGATTCATTGCCTGCCCCCGTTTTCACATCTGATGCACCTTTGAGAATCTCCGCAGATCCCGTATCCCTTGCCGAAACAGTTGAAATCCTGAACGAGCGCAGGTTTGTCGAGGTTATCGATGACGAGATTGACAGAGTCATAAAATCTTCCTCGCCGTGGAAAGCTCCCGACAGTCGTGGTGTCCAGATGGGTCATGTGCAACGCGGCTACTCGGTGATACGACCATGGGTTCTTGTGATCTTCAAAGCCTCCATTCGGCTCGGCGCTGAACCGACTCCATTCAAATCCACTACTGCGACTCCGGTGCACAAGCCAGGGAAAAAGGATAAGACATCGACAAAAGCGTGGAGACCGGTCGAGAACTACGAGAACATCCTTGCCAAGCCCCTGGAGCGTCTCGTTGCTGACAGACTGTCCTTTGAAGCTGAATCCCTGGGCTTCCTTGACAACGCGCAGTACGGCGGACGACCGGGCCACAGTACTATACAGGCTGTCGACGGGTACATCCACCGTGTTAGGTCTGAACTCGACCAAGGCAACACCGTCTCAACCATGTTCCTGGATCTCAAGGGTGCATTCAATCGTATTGCACACTTGATCAGTGTACGTGAGATGGCGAGTCTCGGTTACTGCCGGGAGCACATCCGCTGGGTGGCGTCTTTCCTCGATCGTCATACTGTGACTGTGGTTATTGACGGGGTAAGAACGGTAACGCTTCAATGCATGGTCGAGGGCGGTCCTCAAGGTTCACCCTTAACCGTTATAGTGTTCCTCCTCAGTATCAACCGTTTGCTCCGCCATCTCCGCACACTCGGCGTCAACACTAGTTGGATGTATAGCTTTGTGGACGACACGAACTTCAGTACAGCCAGCAAATCCCCCTCACAAAACGTGGCCGTTCTCAACAAGGCAGCTGCATTAGCAGTCCAATGGGCGATAGACGACAGAGCCACCTTCGAGAAGTCCAAAACTGAACTCATTCATCATCCTCCTGGTTTAGCAGATCTCTCCGGCCTCGGTATCGTTTTCGACGGCGAGGTTATCACACCTTCTGATTGGGTGAAGTGGCTGGGCGTCCGGATCGATAGCAAGTTGACTGGCGAAATTCACATCAAGTTTCGAACAGCTTCGGCACTACGGGCCCTCCACGCATCACAGGCGCTTACGGATGCTGTCTTTGGCCTGAGATCACAAATGGTACGGGACTTGGTTCGGGCAACGGTTCTACCGCGCGCAGATTACGGAGTAAGCTGCTTCTTTCCGCTCCCAACCTCGGCTTTGAAACCCCTGGAGCGTGTCAACAAGACAGTTGCTCGATGTATCACTGGAGGGTACCGCACGGCGTCGCTTGCGGCACTCGAGAAGGAGGCTGCTATCCTTCCTGCGTCGCTTCGACTTGAATCTGCGCTTTTGCACCGTCTCGCTCGATACTTGAGCTTACCTCCGCTTCATGGGATCACCCCACTTCTCCATCGGGCGATCTGTCATCCACCAAAACACGCTAACAGAGCATCCCCCCTGCACTACGTTGAACGCCTTCCTTCGGTTCGGTGGTCGTGTCTCCTCCCTCCCCGGGGTACTCGAATTCGCAACCGAAAATCTCCATACATTCCGCATACCATGGTTATTCCCCCGGACGTCGATTTATCCCTGGGTATGGAGTGCATCCTGCCCGTATACGCACCACCGTGGGCCGACCCACTTCCCATTACCACCATCATCCCTTCAAAAGAAGACGCGATCGCAGTCCTGGACCAGCTCCTCGCAGATAGTCGCTTCAGATCCTCATCCTGGTTCACGGACGGGTCCTTGCTAGACGGATCTGCAGGTGGTGCGGCGGTGCGAATCGAAGATGGTGAGGAGCGCGAGCAGATTCTTATTCCCCTAGGGCCTGGTCAGGTCGCCGAGGGCGAGGTGGAGGGCTTGTTGAAGGGGACGGGTGCAGCGCTGAACAGCGAGGCAACGCATATGTTGATGGTGTCAGACTCTAGGGCAGGTCTCTCCGGCATCCGATCCACTGCCCCTCGGTCGGGTCAATTTCGCGCCATCGAATACGACAATCTCATTCGTAACGCTACAATGCGGCTCCCGGGATTGCTAATCGTCAATCTCTGGACACCGGCTCACATTGGTACAGTCGGTAACGAACTCGCTGATACGGCCGCCAAAGCAGCCACATTGCTGCCCCCGTCCCCATCTGTCCCGGTCTCTCTCACCACTTGCAAGCGCCAAATCAACGTTGATATGCTGGATCGCTGGGGGGCTCAGTGGAAGGTGGCAAAAACAGGCAATGGCCTCCGCCAAATTGACAGTTCTCCACCCTCGGTTATCCTACGCTCACCTTACGTCTCCTCCTTGCCTCGCTCGGTCACATCCATCCTGGCACAGCTCCGCACCGACTTCTCCTCCCTCAATGCCGCACGTTTTCGATGCCGACTCATACCCTCCCCAGCCTGTGGCTCATGTGGTGCTTCCAGGGAAACACGCACTCACTTCCTACTGCACTGCCCCACCTGGGAGCACCTCCGTCCCCCACTTCAACTAGCTTCATATAGCGCCGGTATCCTCGGCGCTGTTGATGTTCGGTCTCTCATCGGCCACCCTAAACTCCTCAAGGCTGTCGCGAAGTTCGTTATCCAGACGGGTCGTTTCAGCTGAGTTATCCTAATATATATTTTCTTTTTCCCTTTTCCCTCACCTCCAATTTACACTGCGTTAAATTACATATAATACACCTCAGAACCTCATAAATTACGGAACGTACACTCTCCGCACTCATTTTCCTCCTCTTCAACTACACCTCTTACGCGGACTTCATACACTCAATTTCCCCGTATGCCCTCGACTTTTAGTATCTCCCTTTCATATCATTACATACAACCACTACAAGTACATTACACCACATACATCCCCTCCAGTCTAGTAGTCTTAGATTACTTAGCGTACTGCCGCGTAGCCAGTATGGCCAGGTACGGCATAGTCAGAACTTCAAATCAAATCAAATCAAATCGACCGTGGAACTATTCGGACGCTGGGAGTCGACCCCAGGCTTCCCGCTTCAAATTATGCATCGCGACAACAACTGAGAGCGGGCGTGCACCCTCCACCACATCAGAGACGATATATTTGTTACGATGTCCGTTGGCTGTGAGATTTTTAGAACAGGTGTTTAGACGCTGTGAAACATTATAACTGCATCGCTGAGTTGGCGGAAAGTCACTGATCGGTGAGAATGCCACCTCCGAGATTTAACCCACTGTGGACCAACAAGGCTCGTGAGCACAATGTATAATCCCAAGGAGTGCGGAGCGAAGTAGGGATGTAAAATGAATTAAAAAAGTGTTCGCACTGCGCCATTCGGACGCTGGCAGTTGAACCCAGGATGGATTGATATTCCCGCTTCAATGCGTGCTACAGAACCTGAAGGAAGAGCGGGCATGCACCCTCCACCACATCCGAGACAATATGTTTGTTACGATGTGCGTTGGCTGTGAGATTTTCAGAACAGGTGTTTAGACGCTGTCAAACATGATAACTGCATCGCTGAGTTGGCGAAAAGTCACTAATCTGTGAGAAAGCCACCTCCGAAATTTAACCCACTGTGGACCAAAAAGGCTCGTGAGCACAATGAATAATCCCAAGGAGTGCGGAGCGAAGTAGGGATGTAAAATGAATTAAAAAAGTGTTCGCACTGCGCCATTCGGACGCTGGGAGTCGAACCCAGGGCTCCCACGTCAAATTATGCAATAACGGAACACGATCAAGGACAGCGGGCGTGCACCGTGCACCACATTCGAGATATTATGCATGTTACGCGGTGGGATAGATATGGAATGTATCAGAGCAGATGCTAGCAAACAGTACAACTGAATCCCTGAGCGGATAGGCAATGCGACTGAACGGTGGGGAAAATCGTTGTGTTTGATTGATTGACAACTTGAACTCAGGCATGCATATGGAAACAGATATAGAGTACGGAGGCCTGAGGCAGGAGCTGGAATAAAACTCAGGCAGGAGCTGGAATAAAACTCAGACAGGAGCTGGAATAAAAACCAACAATTCCTTTGCTTTGTAAAACCAATAATCCCTTGATTTGTATTCATTCGGACGCTGGGCGTCGAACCCAGGATGGATTGATATCCCCGCTTCAAAGCGTGGTTCAAGACCTGAAGGAGGAGCGGGCGTGCACCGTGCACGACGTCCGAGATACACTTACTGGTATGATGTGGGTTGCGTTCTAGAGCTCAAAATTAAAGGACAAGCAGATTAATGCATACGATCTTTGAACGAAGGTATGCATACGATGTTTGAACGAAGGTATGCATACGATCTTTGAACGAAACTATGTAGTATGCAGACGATCTTCAAAACGAAGCTTCGTGTATAGATTATCCGGAGAGGCAGATTATCCGGAGAGGCAGACATCTCGGGCGGCCGAGCGGCCGTACGGAGATTGTTGTCGCCTATACAGTAGCCACGTGAGGAATCGGGAGTCTGTGGCATGTGCACACGGATCAGGATTCAGCGTGGGGATTAAGTATACTAATTGAATTGTACCAGCTGTCCCTGTCCGTCCCTGTGCTGGTAACGAAGTTGGCGAGAAATGAGCATTGATACATAGGCCAAGGAACCGTTTATCCCTACCGCATCCGCGCACGAGGATCCCCGCACAGGATGAGTCGGTAGGACTCTACGCTGATCCTTCAATTGGAGCTGCTGTATATATGTAGAACGCAGATCGATGCTGTGTTCAATGTTGATTTTCGCGAAAGTGATGAACAATTTAAATGGACTCTTCGAACCTCCTCGAATCTCGTCAAGATTTGAAGATCCTGGAATAGCGTGCGTGAGAAAATAAAGATAAATGGATAAGAAAATAAAGATAAATGGATGAATGGGTCAATGGATAAACGGCCGTTCGCGTGAATAACGGCCGTTCGTGGAGCAACGAGGAATCGGGTAGAAGCGGGTCGGATGTATGTGAGCAGACGGAATATGTCACGGTAGGTAGGTAGGTAGTATTACGGAATAACGGCACTCTGGGGAAGCGGGGGAAATGAATTCGGCAGGGGTGTTGGGGTAGAATACCGAAGAATACCGACCGGTATGGGAACATAAGTAGGGTGGATCGTGTGCACAGGCACACTGGTACCCACGTACCTGACAGTAGATGGAAGCCCAGATGACAGCGTAGATCGAAGCCTAGATTGCAATGGAGGAGATGTCGCACTGATATAAATGGACATGAGATAAGATTGATTGGAATGGAGCGGTTGACGCCGGGGGGCGCTTATGTGCGACGGGGATCAGTCTGCGGAGCCCACAGAGGATCAGGTGCACACTGGAGGCAGGCCCGAGGGTCCGTCGGGGAGCGTGGGTGCGGCGAGGCAAGGCGCTTTCAATAACGTGTGCGGCGTCATGCTGATATCGTGGCTCTTGTAGTAATATGTGGCGCGTTATCGATTCATAGATTGAGATAAAAGCGGAGTCGGACGAGTAGAGGAGGAGACGAGCTAGTGGGACGAGCAGACGAGCTGCAGAGCTGCGGGATCATCCGATGCAGCACGCACGAATCATGCCAGATAACACGCAAGACGACGGTCGTACCATCCGATGGACAGCGTACGAGCAACGCTGCGGACAGCCAGCGGAGATAAGACCGGAGTTTGGCGCGGTCGGTGCTCGGTTTCCGGGTACTTATCCAAGGACGATAGCTGCAGCCTGCCGGGGGGAGCATGTAACCAGTTCAAACACCATCCCGTTCAAGATAAAAGCAAGGGAAGGAGGAAAGTCGCTTGTGCGAGAAAGAAAAGAGAAAACCGCAGACGGAAGCAAGACGGAAAAGGCAAACGGAAGGAAGCCCCAAAGCGGCAACTGCATCCGCGGACCGGCGATCGCGTGTGAGGCACGTGGCGTCCCAGCCCCATAAAATTTTCGCCGCCACCGTCCTGCATCTCTTGCCTCCTTCCTCCATCCTACCATCTCATCTTTCTTTCTGTCCTGTCTGCTTCTCAGTACTCCTCTTTTTGCGGGCCACACGATAGTAATCGCGCTCCTACGAGAACGGATCTGAAGAAGCCTGAAGGGCTCGGCTGGCACTGAAGAAGCACCGGACTCACCGGAAGGAAAGCAGGCGATACAGGCGAGCGACGCCCACAACAGCCCACAACCGTACGCATCCTTCCTTCCTTCGTTCCAGCCTTCTTCATCCCCATCCCTCTTCCCCGCATTCACTTCGCGTACCCCCACAAAGATTCGTGGGCTCATTCATAACTCTTTGCCCTTGTAGCATTCAAACCCCAAATATCATAATCCGACTCAGAAGCAACTTGGGTCGACTACTATAGAATCACGAAGCCACGAAGCACCGAACGCGAACGCACCGGAAGCGACGCCCACAAACGTCGTGAGCATCCTGCCTTCTTTCCATCCGTCCTTCTTCATCCCCATCCCTCTTTTGAAGTTCCCCGCATTCACTTCGCGTACCCCACAAAGAATCTTACCTCGATCTCGTCTAGAGCTGCTTAGAACTCGGACTCGGATTCAAAAGAGCATTCGAAGAACAGCAACACCATGACGGAATACGACTTCTCCCCCGAAGCCTACAACCGCCACCTCGAAACCCAGGCACGCATCGCGCGTTGGACACACAGCACCCACCGCGTCCCGCAGGCCGATCCGTTCGCGCCGCCGACACCTGCGAATCCCGCTGTTTCCCTTCCCCATAATTCCTCACTTCCTCCAAATTCCACGCCGCACCGCCGCCGCACCCGCTCCTCCGACCGCTCCCACTCCCGCAAAACCTCCCCGCCACCGCCACTTCCCTTACACCAACCTCCAAAACGAGCCACACCCGTACGCTCCCAAACCGCCCCGCCCAAAGGCGATATCTACGGTGTCTATGGCGCTCCACAACCACCGCAATCGCAACCTTACTACTCCGCCGCACCCGCCGCATACGTATCCGCACCTGCGGGCGGTGGCGGGTACTTCACGCTCCCACCTCCTCCGCCGCCACCTCCGCCACAGCCACCACAGCACAGACGCTCCCGCTCGACCTCCCACGCACCCCGCCCCGCCGAACCGGCGCGGAGTCGCTCATATTCCGTCGCGCCTCCGCCGGCGCCGGGCCAACAACCCAAGGGGTATGTATTCGCGACGCAGCCGCAGTATGCCTATGCCCAGAACGCGTACGCACAGAATGCTTCCCAACCCCAACCGCAACCGCAATACGCGTACGCCCAGCAGCCACAGCAGCAGCCGGTGAGGAGTCCCGCTCGGGAGGTTCCGCTGTTGAAGCGGGTGTTTGGGTTCGGCGGAGGCGGAGGGGGGAAGAGTAGCGCGGGGGGTAGTAGGGAGGGGAGTCGGAGTAGAGAGAGTAGCAGAGAAGGAAGGGAGGGGGGGAGGCCGAGGAGGGGGGATTCGTATTGAGGTGAGAAGGCGTGTTTTCGTTCGATTTGGGCCGGGAGGAAATTGATCGTCCGAGTTTACAGGTGACAGGATGAAGATCGTTTGAAACAATTCTCAATGCGCGCCACCATGCGATATCCATCTATCCATCCCCTGCGTGTTTGTCTGTCTGAATTGGTGCGACTCCGACTTCTTGCATTACCCACTTCTTGCATTACCCATTTCCGAAAGCGAACCCCGCATCCTCATCATCATCTTGCGCGTTGCCCTCCTCTATCCCACACTGTACATATCCCTCCCACACTGTACATATCCCTCCCACACTGTACATATCCCTCCCACACTGTACATATCCCTCCCACACTGTACATATCCCTCCCACACTGTACATATCCCCGCAAGCCTACTTCCACGACTCGAGCTACCCCTTCGTATACATACAACCAACATCCTACACCACCCTACGTGTACATAGCCGTATACCACCCTACGTGTACATAGCCGTATAATGCAGCATACCTGTCTATATTCAGATGTTCTTGTCATTTCGTTGTTATTTGCGCATTTCGTTGTTATTTGTGCATCGATGTCTCGAGGCTGTATCCCGCTTCTCAAGCTTCTGTCGAGTCTCGATGAGTGGGGATTGTGGGATAGGATTGGGATCGGATATGCAGGTACAGATACTGAAATCCAACTCGGATGAGGTGCATGGTGCATACCCGCTCTTTGTAGAAAAATGGAAGCGGGAAGCCTGGGTTCGACTCCCAGCGTCCGAATGAGCTGTTGACTGTTGACTGTTTTTTCTTGTTCTATTGGGGAATTTTCCAGTGCCGTGCGACTCATTCAGCATTCCAAATTCTACCTCTGAAACTGAACTCATTAAGTAATTCCAGCTAGACAGAACGCCGATAACAGTTGCGATTACATAATACGGTTCACGTTTACATTGCCTGTAGCATTTCCCTCGCTTGTAGCATTTCCCTCGCTTGTAGCATTTTCGCAATGTAAATATTCATTTCTCGGTCCTATCCAGGTTCAAATACGTACTGAGACCTCGGACGTGGTGCACGGTGCACGCCCGCTCTTCGTAGGAACCGAAGGAGGACTGAAGCGGGAGGAAGTGGCCATGGGTTCGACTCCCAACATCCGAATTAGTCGGTGGCTGCATATGATTTTTTTCTTTTTGTGTTCTGCTGGGGAATTTCCGATTACTCTTCAGTACTGTATCCCTCTGACTTGTCTTGCCTCTGAAACTCATCTCATTAGTTCCAAAGTTGGTTACAATTCTATTTCAGCGTGCACAGTATCAAATTCATTTCAGCCGCAATAAAAAACTTAACCAGCTGCCACCACTGGCAGATAGCTGGGCCTTCCTGAACTTCTTCTCACACAAGGTTCCAACACAGACAGAGAATTCGGATGTCGTGCACGGCGCACAGCCGCTTCTTTGTGTTCCGCGAGTACACAGAAATTCATGTGGAGGTCACCTGGGTTCGACTCCCAGCGTCCGAATGCGCCTGAGCCCGGTATTCTTTTCAGAAAATTTTCCAGTGCCAGACAACTACTTCATCATTATTCTAAGCTATCTGGCCGCTTCCCAACGAGTTTGCAAATATGTCCAGACCGCTGAACGTAAAGCAGACAACAGTCGCAATTATGTTGCAATTATGATTGGCACTTTCCTCTGCATTATTCACACTTTCATCTGCATTCCCTTTGTATTGATCCCTGTTCTATTGAGGTTCAAATGCTCGGATGTGGTCCACGGCGTATGCCCGCTCTTTGCCGAGAGATGCGAATAGCGTAATTGAAGCGGGAGGAATCGGATTTGACTCCCAGCGTCGGAATGGCTTCGTAAGGGAATTTATTTCTTCGTACCGAATTTATTAGTGCAGGGAACTTTGGCAGTATTCCGAATCTTGCCTCTGAAACTGAAATCATTAGTAAATGCCGGCAAACAGAAAATCGATAACACTCGCAATTACGGTTCGTGTTTTTTCCTCGGCATGTATTTATTTCTCAGTCTTATCCCAATTCAAATACGTACGGAGAGCTCGGATGTAGTGCACGGCGCACACCCGCTCTTCGTAGAAATAGAATGACTGAAGCGGGAGGAAGTGGGTTCGACTCCCAGTGTCCGAATCAGTCCGCGGTATATCTTTTTTTTCTTTATTTTTTTCTTTCTTTCTTTATGCCCGAGAGTCTTCGAATTCTAGTCACTGGTCTCTTGCCGTATTATTAGTTGCTTTGCCTCTGAAACTCCTGGCAGCCTGGACATTGATAACGCTTTGAATGACAGTTACAACTTACGAGTCACAATTACGACTCACGAGTCACGAGTCACATTTTTGTCGATATTCGCATTCTGCATTTTTTTCTTGGTCCTATCCAGCTTCGAATAGTGGGTTCCAAGTCGGCTGTCGTGGACGGTGCACATCCGTTCTTTGTGAGAGATGTGAACAGCGCAATCGACGCAGGAGGAATCGGGTTCAACGATTTTCAGCGACCGACTAAAGACTTCTGCCACTGCCGTCTTTTTGGGAGCAGATGTTTGGCAGGGAGTACACAGTGTTTCTTCCTGCAAAACACGTTCCCGGGAATTGCCAATTGCTTCCTGAATTACGCAATTGCTGCTACAACTCCCGCGACCCACGCCCGACAGCCTCTGTAGCATAGTTTTACTACAATTCAACTTGAGTGAGTGCACAGTGCACACCCGCTCATAGGCTAGCAGGCATCCCGTCGAAAATTTGTTGGTTCTATGAATCTCTCCAGGTTCGCAGTGCTGGCCCGAGATGGCCTGAAGCCACACAAGGGTCGAATCCAGACCAAGAACTCGGATGTAGTGCATGGTGCACACTTGCATTCTGTTTGCTAATGAATATGTATCAGAAGGGACTTGAACTTGAACTTGAACTTGAACTTGAATTCTATATTAGCTGTACCTGGCCATGATGGCTAAGCGGCAGTACTCTAGGTAATCTAGGAACGGTAATCTAACATAACTATGCTGGGTTTTGGGAGGTTGTCGATTATATGTATCCGAGTGAAAATGGGAAGTAGAGTGAGGATGGGGAAACAATAAGTAGCCTTGAGTGATAACAAATATGTAGTTGGGACGGGGGTCACTGTAACATGTAGAGGATGAGGGATAACGATGGTTTTTGGGGCGTGAGGATAACCTGGGTTCGACTCCCAGCGTCCGAATGGATGGTGGGATAGTTATTCCTCCTTGCAAACGTTGCAAGCAAGGATCTTTTCATCTTCGGCCGTCACGTATCTCGTCAAGTTCAATCGCTAGCCTTGAGCTCTCCCCTTTGTCATTAATCTTTTCTCTCCTCTTTAGTTTTAGTTCAGCTTGCCTCAGTTTTATTTCAGCCGCAGAAAAATCAATCGCTGCCACCGCTGGCAGATGGCTGGGCTGTCCTGAATTTCTTCCACCACACAAGGGTCGAATACAAATGAAAACTCGGACGTCGTGCACGGCGCTCACCCTCTATTCGTAAATCTGCAGAAGGAAAGTTGAGGCGGGTGCCCTAGGTTCAACTCCCAGCGTCCGAATAAAATGAATCCCAAATTTTTCTTCTTCTGCTTTTTCTCCCAGTACCGAGAGTGCATGCGTTCACGGCCTGCACAATTGCCCTTCCTATGAACGCTGTTTATTTTAAACACATCACAAGTGTCAATGTGCAGAATCTCGATTCCATGCAGCGGCAGATTCAAGAGATTCGTGTGGTTACGGCTTCAATTTGGCCGTCCCTCGATGATCGGTCTGCCACATTTATTTGTTTTGTCTGAGAGTAGTTACCGGATCCTACTTCGGACGTCGTGCACGGCGCACAGCCGCTTCTTTGTGTTCGGCGAGTATGCAGAGATTTATGTGGCGCTCACCTGGGTTCGACTCCCAGCGTCCGAATGGGTTGCTTGCAGCTATTCTTTTTGGAACCCCCCTTGCAGGTGAGGGCCTCTTTCATCTGTGTTCTTCTCTTGTATTTCGTTCAGTTTAAAAACACTCTACCTAAGCCCTATTTCAGCCGAAGAAAAATTAGCCAGCTACCACTGCCAGCATCTGAATAGATTGTGAGAATCCCAGTTTTTTGGCAACCAATTTTCCAGTGCCATTCGCGACTTTCAGTATGCTGATTATCTCATCTGGAAATTCTTTGCCATTCCAGGCAAAGAGAACATAGATAGTAACGGGCGCAGTTACGATTTACACCTCCATCAGCTTTCCCTCTGCCCATTCATTTCTCCATCCTGTCGAGGTTCAAATATGTACCAAGACCTCGGATGTGGTGCACGGTGCACGCCCGCTGTTCATGAGCACGCATCGCCGGAGATTGAAGCGGGAGGAACTGGGTTCGACTCCCAACATCCGAATAGAGACGGTCAAATGTTGATTACCGTTTTGATTTCTTCGTTTTGTTCCTTGGGCGTCATTGACAGGATGAGTCCACACCACATTCGTCACTTCGTTACTTCGCTTAGCATTGCGGAAATTCGTGAGTTCGAGCTAGTTCCGCGGAAGTTCGTGAGTTTCAGGCTGCAGTCTGCGAAAGTGCGTGACTTCAGCTAAATCTCATGGTTGTTCGTCACTTCTTCTGTAAAACGTGAAAGCTCGTCACTGAGATAAGCACATGACCGCGTCGAGGTTCATCGTGAGGGTCTGGTAAGAAGGGCGCGCCTTGGCGCAGCACTGATGCGGATTGACGCGACACCGTTGCTGTAAACATTGATGTGGCATTGGCGAGCAGTCTGCTTTCATTCTGTATGGCTAGGAGATCCACGGATTAAATTGGGGGAGCACTGAATAGCGTCAATACATTGTCTGGGTACAAAAAAAAATCCCATGAGATAAATCACTCGTAAAACTCGAATATTTGGCTTAACTTCAGCACTTTCATATGATCACCTTTGGTTCATTATCTGACATAACCTATCGGAAATAGCGTACGGCTGCACATAACCCAATTCTCAGAGCCAGATAACACGTTTGTGACGGTTTGTCTGGTCCGAGTCAATGTGATGAAACCGTGGGATTTTGTAAGATGTGATCAAGACCTGTCGATAGAGTCATTTTATTGCGGCGCATGTACTGTTGGCTCTGAAACTTGGTAATGTGGATCCATGGTAGTAGGCTCTGCAAGAGACACGTTAACTGTCAGCAAGTCCCCCAAAGAAATTCAGACTGGGCTGAAGCTGTACTTCCAGGGTCACTGGTCTGCAACCATTCCCATCCTAGCATTTCCTGCCCTTGACACGATGTTTATGCAATTGTAAGAGTGTTTCAAACTTTTGCGAGCGAATTACGATGCAATAAGGAGAATCATGAGATCTACGCAAATGAAGTAAGTACTTTGAAGTACAAAGTCAGTCCATACACTAACTAACCACTATGTGCCGGATCCCTAAGACATGATATTCCACATCCGAGAAGACTTCATTCGATGGAGATATTGGAAATAATTTGAAGTGCAAAGCAAGTGTCTACTCACCCAGAATCACCGACTAAGGGCCCAGCAACGGCCCCAAGGACGACGGTTTCAACCAACTGGAAATGAGAAAGTTTGGTATTCTTATTTTTTTACCTTCTCGTTCGATAGGACTTATCCTTCGGATCCCAGTATTAAGTCGCCGTGTCAACCAGCCTTCCGGAAAATCTATTCGAAATGTTGAACCTCCGGTCGCATCTGCATCAAATATTCACCTAGAACCTCCTTATTCATCATATTGAATGGTGTCCAAATGTCATCCATGGATTCAACCAAAGTAAATTTCCTCAGAGAGGTTCAGTTCTTCCATGTCATCCATCGAAACACGTTGAGAGACGCAGTGAATGTTATGGTAACTGCGAGATCGGTTGAACCGTGGGAAGTATGTCATATGACTGAGAGATTTTTTTCACCCAGAACTCGCCCGTCTCATTCGTGCCCAATGTGCATGTGATCACGGAGTTCGCGTTGGATCTGAATCCATTGTAGTTAAATTTGTACGGTAGTGAAAGGAATGTATCGGAGAATATTAGCAAGATAAGGTATCTATTCGACTCCGATAACATTCATGCCAGCCCTGCGAGCCCCCAACCTCCAAGGGGCCCGAGCACCAGGCGCTTGGGAGGTGCATCCGACTACGAAGATGCTGAGCGAGAGCGTTTTCGAGTCGGCCTTGTGGAGTGTGTTGAACCTGCCAAAGTCTCAGCGCGTCAATTGATATGTCAGGATGTGTTCGCACCTTGTATCCCCAACATCATCGCTAGGAATAGTCCCAGGTGCATTTACATGAATTAAGCCTTGATTTCAGAAGAATTTTTTGGGACACAAAGAACTCAAACCTTGAGCCGTAGAGCATTGAGGAGGAGACGCTCCGGTAGGGTCTATATCCATGTGAGCAAGGTATCTCTCAATAAAAACGCGACTGTATCGCACCGGATTCGGTCGACTGACTCTTACGTGGTCGAGAGGCGCGGACACGCCCGGAGGAGTTGGACTACATAAATATTGTTAGTAACCCGAAACACATTATCATTGAACCAAACATTTCGCTCCGCCCGTACCTGCTTGAGGTGAGGCTGGGCATCTGTAACGGCGTTCTCAGAAGCTCGACGGTCTTGTTTAAGAAGCCATTTGTGCATCTCCTTATGCTCCCACCAGCCTATCGAAGTTCAGTCCGATGCCAATGATAAAAGACTCACAATGAACACAATGCCATACCATTCGGATCAGGCCGTTTTCGAGTCCACAGCTCGAATTGTTGGACGTCCTCAGAAAAAGTGATGTAGTCCATGACAGGCGGCGGGGACACTACTGTGACGCACACGCGAAATCGCTGGGATGTGTGGTGGTAAGAAGTGATCCCGGTGACGAAACTAAGATCAAACACTTCCCCCGCGGACAGAAGTGACGAGCTTTCACGAAGAATGATCTCAAGTGACGAGCTTTCTCCGAGACTCGTCGGAATGACGAACTTCCACAATAACCCATCAAAGCGACGAACTTTCCCATTCTTAAGCGAAGTAACGAAGTGACGAAGGTGAGGTATACTCTGACAGGATCTCTAACGTCAGCTCTTATCCAGGTTCACAAACTAGATTTCACTTTGGATGTTGTGCTGGGCCACCCCTGCTCTCGGCAATGCTGCAACGATCCGATTTGAGGCGGCTGCCCTGAGTTCGATTCTCCGAGTTAGCGTCCAAAGAATCGAGTACTAGTCGGTACGAGTTTTTTCATTATTTTGGCATAGCGGCGGTCTGTCGTTCAACACCGTGATACTTCCGTAGCTCAACATGTTTTCAAATCCAGATTTATCACCGACGAGTCGGAGCCGAGACCCATTGGAAATCTAATTCGCAAGGCATGGGCGGTACACGCCCGCTCTCCGTCTTCTGTTTCCTAGGCCGTTACAGCGGCACTCCAACAATTCTTTCATGTGAGATTCACCTTTCCGACGGGTCTTCACTAGCACTTTCAGCATCCGGTTTTATTCCGGTGTTCTCGCACCTTTCATTCGGTTCTGTTCAAGTTCTGTTTCTGGGCAATCAGGCGCTTCGTCCGACAGTAAATTATCACATCTGCAGAACATCTGCACCGGTATGAATCTGACATTCATCATTTTGTAGTCCCGCACCTGCCAACGACCTGCCAATGTCCGACGTCCATTCATGAAGATCATCTAGCATACCAACAATCAATCTGACGCAATTACGCGGCCAGTCCTTATAAGCGCTGCATGAGCCTCCTTGACCGGCTCCCAGCCTCTCCCAGCCACCTTCTCCAATGTCTGACACTGTTCAAGAGAGTCCGAAACCAGGCTCGTTCTCTGTTCTACCAAACGTGAGTCAACCAACATTCTTCGCATAAACCGGCTGGACAATCTGTATAGTCAGCCCGAGATGAACTAGGACAAGAAATGGCTGAGGGGGCAACAATCTGGCAAGCATACACCAAGGCAGCTGATGCACACGACGAACAACTACTTCGGCAGTGGAATCAAAGTCTCGATACCATGCTTATTGTTGTGAGAACTTGATATTTAACCTGCTCACCAATGATTCCTGACATAACTCTGGCAGGCCACTTTGTTCTCGGCAGTGGTCACCGCCTTTGTTATCGAGACTTTACAGGATCTAGGGCCCAGTGCGCAAGATCTAACCAATGATTTGCTCCTGGGCGTTATCCATGCCATCAACAATCCTCAGTCAAACACATCCCAGCCAAATGTGAAACCGGTGGAATTTGTTGCCTCTCCAAATAATGTGTTGGTCAATGGGTTATGGTTCACTTCATTGGCCTGCGCCCTCGGCGATGCTGCGATAGCTATGCTTATAAAGCAGTGGTTAAATGCATATTCTGCTGGGCTTCCTGCATCACACCAATTACGCTCGCGCATGAGACAGCACAGGTTCAATGCTCTTATCAGGTGGAAAACACCCGAGATCATCGGCTTCTTGCCATTTGCATTGTCTGTCTGTGTCATGTTGTTCCTCGCAGGGCTTTCGATCTTGCTCTTTTCGCTCAACAACACGATTGCAATTGCTACAACCACATGCATAGGCATTGTGTTTACTTTTCATGTGGCAAGCCTCCTACTTCCGGGACTGTGCAACTCTCCATGGAAAACTGCTGTTTCACCATTAATTTATCAGAGTCTATTTCCTCTGCGTAAAATGGTCAATAGCTCAGGTGTCCATAAAGCCTCGAAACAAATTTCCAATCTCTGGAAAGGAATGTTCAACGTCGGGAAACAGTTAACATTCAACAAAATCTTGTCAATGCTGGGCAATATTGGCGTGCAATTCACTACAACAGCAGTCACAATTGTTTTGTGCCCTGTTACAATGTTGCTTTGGCTAGGAGAGTGGATTTGGTCCTCAGTACCACGATTCCTTCAACAGGTGCTTTACTATCTCTTTTCGCCACTGATTTTGCCCCTTGCCTTGTTCGTTATAGTTGCTGGATATGTCAAAACGACATATGCGTACTATTCTCTGAGATATCGGCTGGTTTATCCCCCATATCTTCCTTCTCCGGAGTTTGCATTCATCAAGCATCAATGGTTTCTTTTGAAAAAGGCTTTGAAATTGAACTGGTTTAAAAACAAGCATTCTTTGGCATGGAAACCCCTGTCGGAGCATGCAGACGAGATCAAATTTGTCAGTGAACCAAGGTCTTTCCATTGGCTTGATGGGCAAGCTATTGTCTGGATGGTATCGACATCCACAGACAAATCACTGACACAGCAAAGTATTCAGTCTTTAGCTGGGCTGTCAGCAGATTTTGAACATATTCACATTCTTCACCGACTGCTCCATCCAGTACAAATGAGCTTAATGTCTTGCCTAAAAGCAGAACATTTGCAATATGATGTGATTGAGCTCTATGCAC